CTGATACCACAGAAGAAGTGATGGACTTTGAGTTAAAGTTTGTGTTCGTTCCTACGATACGGTTGCTAAGGACCACAAAACTTACAGGTAACCTTGCTCTCGCGGTATTAAATCCTCGAGCAGTCTTCGCCAGGAAATTGCTTCGTTTTCCAAGTGACTTGTCCCAAGAGAGAAATGGCAGGAGTATAACAAGATGGCTTCTGTTTCACTTGTTTTATGTCCTCGACTTTTCCATTACTTCATAAATGACTTTCATGTTGTGGAATGTCAGTGATTCTGATTACCTCAACAAGGCAGTGAAACTGTTGAAATTCTCGTGCTGTGATTGGTGGATTGGCGTCCAATACCTGTCATAACAGGTATGATGATATCATGATGCGTTGATGCAGAAAAACTGGGCTTGAAATCCGCGTTATTTGAACACAGCTGTGTAGCCAAGGATGGAACAAATTGATACAGTTGAAAAGACAACATTACCTCATGTTTGAAAACAACTATCATAAATTCCAACCTCTYGGAAAGCAAACGAAAAGCTGATTTCAAGCTGCAAAGTTTAATTATTCTACTTCATTGAATTCCACGATTTAGCAATAGCCAGATGTCAAATGAGTGTTCGAGTGAATACCAATTTTCCTATGAGATCCCTAGAAGGGATACTAGAGCTCATTAATATTAATTATCCAGTTCACGGTTCTTGACCATGCGTGCGAACGACCCAATCTGCTGCTTGAACCTCTACATTTCAAGAATCTCAATAAATTCAAAACAAATAAAGAAATATATGTGATATCTCTGGTAATTTCTATTTTCATTTTAATATTTTTTGCCTAAGAAGGGTAGAGTAGAAACATTTTTTAACGAAACATAAGTATTACAGTGATTTGATGCTGTTACGCTTCTTCAAAACAGGGCGGACGCAACAAAACTTGAATCGAGTACCCCAAAATACATGTGCAAACCATTTAATTTTTACCTACCTATAGCACACTAATATCTTTTCTAGGCCAGGTTTACAGTACCCTTTTTGCAGACGGTGCTGCCGCGCGCGGGTCACAGCTACAGATGCAGTAAACGATTTTAATGGAGGCTAAGTGTTCAACTGATTCTTATACCGGACTATAGACCTATAACACAACCAATTTACAAGACTGTAAAGCTGTTTTATATTTGTTGTTTTGTTGTTTTTTTTTTTTTGTAGGTTTTTTCTAATGATCGTGCGAGCTTTTCTTCCAAATGGAAGTTTGAACAACATTTGGGCTTCCTGTGGTAAATCGGTACCAGGCCCGCGCGGTGAAGTCAAGCTTGCAGTAAATTTAAAATGGCGTCCAACACGAGGTTTCCTTCTAATGTGGMATTCTCTTTGGTTTCAAAGCTTTTCTAGCTGCAAARGTGAGGTAAAGAAAAGGGTTTCAACTCAGCACAACATTGACATTCTTTCAGTCACTAAAAATATGGTGAAAACGGAAGAAAACGTGGAAAGAAAACTGCTTGTGCAGAGCACTCACGATTTCTAAAACTTAACTTATTACTTTCAATAGTCCTTGTTTTCAAAGATATTATGATCTTTATGCTTACTATTTATGTCTGTGATAAACACTGTACAACTTGTACAACTTGTGGAGTATGGCATTAGCCTGATCTCATCGAAATGTTTACTAAATTGACTTCGTTTCTTTGGGTTGCTCTTGCTGTGATACTTTTTGCTTATCCAGGATTAGGGTGCATGTACATGTATGTAGGGGAAGATGACATTGGGGAAGGTTGGSAGGGAACAAATGGAGGCAAATGTATGCATTCATAGTTATCATATATCAATGTTAGTGTTACTAACATTACGTTTGTTTTATTTTTATTATTATTATTATTWTTTTTAACAGTATGACACAAATACTAAGCAGTCTTTTTGTGTACATTTGTAATAATTATGATTTTTGGACCAGAAAAAGGTTCTATGAGTTAAGATTTGTTTCTTTGAAACTTATTTTTATCATCTAATTATTTTCACAGGTCTGCATGGTTAGCTGTGATCAAGCATCTGGTCTTCCACAGTGGAACAACACCTTACAGAGACAATGATTGCTACTGATTTCTGTTAATATTCAATAAAAACACCCCCCTTCTCATTCAACCCTACCCCACCCACTCTCAGGACCATCTCTTTTCTAAATTACTAATCAGTCAATACTTGACTTTCATCTCAATCATGACTGCTTTGATCTTCTTTCTAAGTATTTCCTAGTGAAGGCATAAAACTTCAATTATTGCTTCAATTATTTTCAACAGTTAAGTTCGTTTTCCTTTTTCACACCAAGGGTTTATTTTCGTGATGCAATCTACCCCTACTGCACATGCATGTTGCAGGGTTAGACTACATCACACATTTTTTCTTTTATTGGTTTTATTCCTTCAACTCTTGTTTTTGTTATYTTTTTGTATTCTCATCAGCAAACTTTGCCTTTTGTCTCATTCTCATCAGAAAGGCCCCCTTGCTTCCTCCCTTTCAGATCTTACATGAACTTGCTGTGGTAAATGTGTAGTTTAATTTAGAAAGGGCAGTGGTGTGCACGCCACATAAGCATGAAACAATTCTTAAGTAATTAGCGCCTAATAAGATTTAGTTATCAACTAACTAAGAATTTAGTGAGGCATAAACAAAGACAAGTTTCCTTTCTGGCATTGTGTTCAATGACCCAGCGAATTCTTAGTTGATAACTAAATCTTATTAGATGCTGATTGTTAAGAATTGTTTCACGCTTTTTTGGCATGCACTCTATACCCGTGAAACTAGTAGAATGATTTTCCATGGAGGGTGCAGAAAAAAATGAATCTGGGTTTTAAGACAGTTATCTTGGGATTGGCACTGATTGTACTTGAAACATTGAAATTTCCCTACTAATTAATTACCCATAATTTTCTTTCACAATCCATGGAAAGTAAATCTATTATAAGGTCATGGCTAGATGGGATACTTGCAAATTCAGGTAATCTTTATATTTTCAAACCTCTAAGAAAAGTTTAATTGTCTTGTAATAGTTACCTGATGCTAATTCAATGACTAAAGGTGCAAATCTAAGAATACCATGATCCCCTCGGATTCACTTTGGATACCTGTGGCCGTCGGGACTTCAACTTATTAGACCTCGGCTTCGGGGACATTTAATCCCTAATCTCCCTCATAGCCATGCTATTACTTATAATAATAACTGGTTTGCAAGGAWGTCATCTAGCCACAACCATTAGAGAACTTCACATTGTAGAGCATGTTCAAAGAACCCATGAAATGATTATTGCTATAGTATATTCATTCTTGGGTACTCAGGGGTAATACATAATGTGATTACCCCTGGGCACCCTCTAAGTTATTTCTCCACCAATGCTTAAGATTTTATTTCATGGGTTTGATGACCTCGCTCTATTGACTATTCTTAAAATTCCAGTGCAGGCAGCAATAAACTTGTTCCTAGGAAAGAAAACAATAGATTTACATAAAGATTCGAACCATTCCTGCCTGTACTKTAATTTTAAGAATAGAAACCAACATGAAAATTACTTTAAAATACTTTGTCATTCATGCAAATTTGAGCAAAATAAAATACTATGGAGGATTACGTCTGTGTGTCAAAATATTTGCTGTCTTATGCAAAATATTATTCTACATACTATTTATTAGGTATCTATATAGGTATCTACTAGGTATCCAGCATACTACCTACTGGGYTATTTTAGACAGCCCACCCCCCTCTGTCCTCTCCCCCCTATAGTCCCCCCTCCCCTATCTCCCCCCTCATCCGCCGAGGTCCCACGGGGCCATCGCTGCCCCTTGGGACCTCATTTGGTTCGGRGAGGGGTGGCTTTGGACTTGCACCACCCCACCTGGTACTGGACCACCCCACCCCCACCTGGTAACGGACCGACCCACCCCTACTGGTTGCTCGACCACCCCACCCCCAGCTACCGCTTGACCACCCCACCCCTACCTGCTGCGACCACCCCACCCTGACCTACTGCGACCACCGCACCCTTGTTTACTACTTGTTTACTATTAATATGAATCCAGAAATAAATAAAACTATAATTTTTGGAAGGTATCTCAGTTTCCCGAAAGAAAGAAGTCTATAACCGAGGTTTGAACTCCTAACCGTCTGATTYATAGCCCAACCACTAACCCACTAAACCATCTAGTCGAAGTTGCTGGTCAGGCTTCGAAAGTTAACTTTATAGCAGGTCACAATTCATTCAAATTCAAACAATGACTTTTGATGTTGAGCGGTTTGAACCAGCAATTCACTAGATGGCTTGGTGATCAAGACAACAGACTACTGGACAGAAGGTAAGCTTGCAGGTAAGGGTTCAAATCACATTCTAACTGATATTTCTTTCCTTTCGCAGGTAAATCTATGTACTGACTTTAATTTCACAGGTCGCACGCAACTTAAGCAAAACTAAACTTAAACCATAAACAAATAACCCTAAACCATTAAAAATCAATAAAAATAAACATCAATAAATAATTAACATAACAATAAATAACCTTCTAAAAAAGTTTAAATCTTTGCTTAAAACAAGTAAAAAGACTTTATAAAATACCATTTCTCAATACATTGCAGCCAAAGATTGTTCTAATTTCTTTAAATTTGCTAAGTACTGATATAATTTAATTAGTCTTTCAATACATCAAATTTAAAAAGTATATAATACTTTAAAATTTTTGTAAGTGCCAAGATTTGTAACAATTATACTTATGGCAATTGAACCACACTTTTGAAATCACTGTGAAATTTCTCTTAGTCTTTTTCTACTAATGTGAGCTTAACATGAATTTTTCTAGAACTACATGTATAACCTTACCCTTTCTAGAAATAGAATTTCCTTTTTTATTTGGAAATCTTACCTTCAATCTTCAGATCATTCAAATACCTTATCATAATGTACACTTCACTCTGAAGACTTTACCAATATAAAATCTACTCTAATATTATAATGATTTAAAAACACCAACATACAGTAGAATATACATTTATTGACAATTTCCATATAACTCCAACAATGTACAAAAAATTAATATGGATATTTCCCTCCTCCTTACAAGTGTATAATGTTGTATAATGTTGAACTTTCATTTTATATTATTATATTTATCAAATATATGTCCTCCAATTTATTTTGATGTTATAAATTGATTACCAAGATATTAATAGAGCATACCAGTTTAAAAATGTCGGCAATTGCAGACTGCTGATGACGTACGACAAGATTGAAATACCATGATAAATAATTATTGGATTGGGTCAAGACATGACATGATCACAACCTCTGTATATTATTTTTGTAATAACTCTTTGACTCAAACAATACAAGGATACTGGTTTTAGTATTGAATTTGATTTGACAGAAGTTGCACTTGAAAAATTATTGGACTATACATCAAATATATTCACTCTTAGATTTGGACTTACGTTTAGACTTGGCAGTCAGCAGTCAGCAGTCAGCAGAAGCTTGGTTCAACCATTTATGAAACTGGTATATATGTCAAATTCAAAATGGACTTACATCATCAAACACCAATGGGGATAGCAGAAATATATTTAGCTTGTGTCATTTTATGAGTTTTTACTGTTGCCACTGAGGCTCTGGCACTAAATGATTTTTTAATCCATCTTCTACATGAAATCTATATACAAATTAATCAACTTAAATTCTCAAGTACCCCAAATTAATCCCTCTCTTAGTTTTGATGATGTAACCATTTTGAAGCTTTCAATTAAGTGTATATGATTTAAAGAAACGTTTTGAATGTGAAATTGATGAATATGAAGCATAATATGAAAGGGTATGGAGAGATGTTCACAGAGAGGATGTATCTGGCTAATACTTACGTATGACCGAGATGTTTGTAATATGAAGGTGTCCACTTTAAAGGGACTTCGGTAATGTCTGTAACTGCCCTATTACATAGCTACGTCACACCAAAACATTCTGTTGTTTTAACGCCAAGGATTATGGTCACCAGTGGGGTGAAAGCATATCAAAGGAAATGATGGAAAACTAGTGGTAAACTGGTATCAAAGGAAATAAACATAAGCAATCATTGATACAATAAAGATGTTGTGACGTCATTATGTAATAGGGCAATTCAGAAGCCTTCTATAGTGATTTTTGTAACATGGGCGTGTCCACAAAGGTGAAMGCACAAAGAGATCCCTGACCTTATTACAAAAACTTTCACCAACATGATTTTAGCTTTAGCTTTGATATGGCAAGTGTCATCTTCATATGGTATTCAACGTGTACACATCTTCACTACTTCGACTCCTCTTCTTCCTAAGAAGTCCACACATCTTACAACTRGAACCATCATAACTGTTTCTTTTATTTCTGGTGGGGTCGGGAGTTCGTTGAGGGCTCGGCGTACTTTCGCAACGCGTMGCGCTCTCGTCGCTGTTTTGTCGTTGTACCACAACATAGTCTTTTTTATCGTCAAATGACATATTATCATACGCGGAGAGTCGGCTGGCAACCTCTGCCAATTCCTTGTCTTCTTTTGTTTCAACTTTGGGAACATCTTTTGGGATTGATTCCAGTAAGGCGCACAAATCAATTTCATCCATTAGCATGGGTCCAGAAAGGATACTTTCGTTGGATGAGCCACCGTTGTTCTGTAATGAATATGGCTGCGTSACTTTGGGTGCAGGTTTTTCTCGATGCTTCTTCTTACGAAAAGAAGGATCTGTTTGCTTGGGCTCGGCTACCATCTTATCGAAGGTCACGTGTTTAGTCTTTTTCTCGTTTCCACTGTCGACCGATTCTGAACCAGTTGAAGACATGTTGGAGGAATCACAGCTCTCTCTTGGTGACACTTGGATGGGRTTGTTTCTGRGAATGAAATAGGGAAGTATTAGTTTATAACCCTGGAAACTCCTGGTCAACACTTCAAGTGCAGCAGGATGCATCACTATCTTATCATCATCATCCAGTCGTCATCATCATCATCATCATCATTATCATCATCCAGCCATCGCCACCACCACCACCACCACCACCACCACCACCATCATCATCATCATCATTCCTTCATCATGAACTTGCTTCGTTGTGTTTACTATAATCATAAATAGCAATATTGATAATCAGCATTTTCAACAATAAATTGCAAACTGCACAATACTTTGAGGTCAATTTTGAAATCGTTAACGCAGTTTCTATCATTTTATTCATTCACTTGTTATCCTACCTTATTGAAGGCTCCGAGCTCGTAATGATCTCGTCCTCTATCGATGATATTTGCAGCCTAACTTCACTAAGTTCCTTTTCAAGCTTTGCCTTGTATTGAGCAAAGTCCATGATCTCCGATTCCAGGCGAGAAGTATCCTCCATGTAAGTAAGTAAATTGGCTCTCAGTAATTCATTTGATTGGTTGACCTTRTCAGGATCACTAGAACAGCTCTCACACAAAGTAATACCGTACTTACTTTTCGTGAGTTCATTTTGGAGTTTTATTTTCTCCTTGAGCAGTTTACAAATTTCTAATTCTTTTGTGGCAAGTTGTGAAGACAATCCAGAAAGTTTCTCCTCAAGACGAGAATAGATATCATACACTTTACCTTCATCGGAATCACYTCGTCTTAAAACGGACAGAAGTTGTGTCAACTTCTGACGTTCTGATTTGTTCAAGTAAGGGAATCCTTTTATATTTTCTCCRCAAACWTCCCTGGAAATTTCSGTTTCATGTTGTGGTGARGTGAAGACTCCTGTAGCGTCGCTCTGACTTAAGTTCTCTTCACTTTTGAATTGTGCTAAATAGTCCTTAATTGCAGCGAGTTTGATTTTGAGTTCCTCGTGAAGGCGGAAGATTTCCAATTTGTTTTCACGAATGACGCTTATTTCRGAAGGATTTACGAAGCAGTATTCATCCGGGAGTAGGACGCACGAAGCAAGGCTTTGGGGATAGTTGGATTCACTAGCTCCGCTACTCCTCTCGCTAGAGACTTCYGTTGCGGTAGACGTGTAGCCAGAGTCACTACTTGACCCCAACCTTTGCTGAGAAAGATCAAGTGGTTTTGAGTCAAGACCCAAGCAMGTCATAACACYGTCGACAAGGCAAATCAGATCCTTTTGCAGACCAAGAATGATGTGCATTAACGAAATAAGCTCTTCCTTGACACGATCAATGGCACGACTTGCCTCGTGGATGCGTTTATCTAAGCCCTTCCTTTCATCCTCGATGGAGCCAAGTTCTTCCTTCATGCGAAGYGACTCCYTCTTCCATTCTTCCAAACTKACTTCAAGGTCTTGAACGCGATTATTAAGAACTATTTCCGTATCTTTATACAAGTCGATTTGTAACTTCATGCTTCTGGTTTCTTCCGCGCAGAGTGAAGAATAAGTCCTTAACGTTTCAAGTTCTGCAGCTTTGATTGATAGGTCTTCCACAAGTGAAACCTTTTCGTTGAGACAGAAAGTAAGGCTTTCTTGTAGMGTACAAAGATTCTTTTCCAACGTCTTCATGTCTTGCTGTAGAACTTCGTTCTCTTCAGCAGTATTTACCTGAGCATCTTTCATCTCGCTTAAAGAAAAGTTTAACTTCGATTTTTCTGTTAGGAGTTCATCTAAGYCACGCTGAAGCTGAGCAACAGTTGCTTCACGTTTTTCAACATCTTTCTGAAGCTTGTTATTCTTGCATTCAAAATCAAGCAACATGGACTCCAGGTCCTTTTCTCTACCTTGAACCGTTTGAAGGTCCTTTTCTAAAGTATTTCGTTCRGATAGAACGGCAGTCACAGAAGTCTTTAAAACATTTGAAGTTGTTTGGATTTTTTCTCTTAGACTGTTGTTCTCATCCATCAGAGCTAAAACATCGGTTCTCAGCTTGGAGCACTCAACGAGCACATTTTGTAGTTCGGTCTCAGCTTCCTCTTTGCGCCCTCTTAAATCTTCTAGTTCTTTCTCGTAATTTACTCTTTCATGGATATCTTCATTGCATTCGTGGTCAAGTTTACCGACCTCACTCATCAAGTCCACCGCTTCGTTCTTCAAACACAAAATTTCTTGGTCTTTCACTAGAATTTGYGACTCGAGCTGGACGATCCTCTCTCGTAGCACAAAAGGATCACTTTCAACATTTAACTCTTCGCTCGTCTCGACGTTTTCCGACGACTCCAAACTAACGTTGTTTTTATTTCTCAAAATGGAATTCTCGTATTCAAGTTCGTCAACTTTTAATTGAAGTCGTCTTTCGTTGTCTTTGTGGCGGGAAATTAGCTGACCAATGTCCTTAAGCTTGGTTTCGAAAGCAGCAGCTTTGGAGATGAACAAATTGTTCCTCGACTCGGCATTTTGAAGCTTGGACCTTACGTTACTCAACTCTTCGTCTTTTTTAAACAGCTCTGCGTTTTGACGAGACTCGAGGTTAAGAAGACGCTCTTCGAGCTGAATACAACGATGTTTGGCCGAGTCTTTATCTGATGCTTCCCGATTTCCGCTTTCGAACTTGGCTAACTTTTGTTTAACTGCTTCCAGCTCCTGATTAAGTTTCTGATTTTCCTCAGTTAATTTCTCAATTTTTGTAAGATCAACAGATTTCGTTYTTAAATCGTTCTCAAGTTCCTGTAACCTCGAGTTCAAAGATGTCCTTGCCGTGTCAAGACCTCCYGCKGGAGGTTCCTCACKATTTYCGAGCTTTGCTTCGAGCTGCCGTACTTGGTTCCTTAATGTTGTTGCCTCTGTTTTCAAATTGTCAAAATGTTCATTTTTCTCTTCAARTATTTGTATTTTATTGACCAATTCCATGTTCTCGATTTCAGCCTCTCGCAGTCTTTCCACAAGGTCATTTTCAGTTGAATTGCTATTGATTGCAACATCTGGCAGCATATTCGATCCAGATTGCTTATACCTCTTCTCTAGTTCACACAACCTTTCGTTTAATGCATCGTTGTGCTTCTCGGAATCCTCAAGACGTCGCCTCATCTCAGCATTTTTCTCACACAAAGCGCGGTTCTCAGCCTCCATCTCGGCAAGGCTGGAGCTTTCAAGTGGATGGGAGAGTTTTTCTCTRCTGTTTGTACTTAGCTCGGATCCTTCCAGCACGACTCCCTCATCAACTGAAATCAGTCTSCCATCGCTTCGCGTCGAGCTCTCTTCAGCTGACTTCTTTCGCAAGAGTGTGTCCAATCCTAGAAGGTAATTTATCAATATTAATGATGGCCAAGCCCGGTAAGAGAATGTCAGGTATTATGAGTTTAAGAAGATGATAGGAAATTTAGAGCGAGATCACATGAACCTTCGTTTGCGGAAAAAATGATCAACTTTTATCATTAGYAGTTTAGCATCGAATACTATACATAGAAATGCCAMAWCAAACGMAAAGACTTTCAAAMCTGAATGCCATCTCGCATGCTTTTTAAAACTGGAAAAATGATKATTATTATTATGGTTATTTTTAAAGCACTTGTAAGAGTTCAAGAGATTACAAGCGTGCTAAGTCGTCAACATGTTTCCCTTCAACGGTTGTCATTCTTCTTTGACACTTGAGCCTATCAACTTCCCACTTAAGTTATTTAATGATTCATCAATATATCCCAACCCACACCAGACGAGGTGCCGCACTGTCTTGCGCATAGCATGCGATATGTGTGAGCATTTAGCAGGGAAAAAGATGGAAACCAGACAGGAGATGTTACAGCAAAATAGACCATCACATTTATATATTTTATGCCCTATGTAACTCTTGAGGCCTAGATATATGTTATCACCCAGTATTGGGCAATCCAACATACTTTATGCCATATTTCAAAATTCCATCCTATATTCTCGTYTATGTCCATACCTGGGTATTCGCATCGGGCAAGTTCGTCCTTCAAATGCTTAATCTTYTTTTCCATTTCAGCTTTATCTAACAGCAAGATACAGTTTATGAGAGCCTTGTCTATCAGGACGTGACARAGTGACTGCTCTAGATTCAGCATGTTACAAATTCCTGGGTCTTCACCTGAAATAAACGCAAAAACAATATATATTACTCTTTACCCTTTTACACTGCAATTCAGGTTTTAAAATTTATTTTCTTCTTTGAAAGAAGAACTGTAACGATATTTATTTAATCTGATCTTCTTRTCAATAACTTTTTTAAACCCTAGACTACGAGATAACAGCCTCAGACGCAGACGTTTCTGGTCTCCATTTTCACTGTAACCGTCTGCAAAAGAGGCTAAAAGTTGTCTCTGAATGGAGCTGTTATCATTCTACAGCATCATCATYAATATAACATTATATATTAACATTATTATCCATATCTTTTATCATCACTATTATGATCGTTATCAGTATTATCATTAAGAATCTTTTTCCTTCAGAACTTAAAGCCGGAAGAARCTAATCCACACACACATCACGCTACAATGTGCAGTGACGCGGTACAAGTACCAGGGACAAACTAAGAAACGTTATTCGGCTTCGAATTGATGCGCGCTCCAATATTTCTGAGATTGATAAATCGGGAAACAATAATTACACTAGCAAATACTGTGCAATGTCGTTTGCTATACTTGTATCATAGTTTATCATTCCAGCCTTTACATCATTCAATGCCGCTGCACATTRCCTATTAGGGGTTCAAATATCGATCTATGTAGTAAGGTTGTGTGGTTGGGCGTTATCTTTCGAGTACTCTAATGTCACACTCTGTCTGGCGCCGTCCGCTAAAGTACGTGAATTGCTACCCACTTTAAGTCCTTGTAAATACAGGCTAATATCATTGAGCCACTTAAATGTACTCTGGCGCYAACTCACGAAAACTGAACACTTATCGAGCAAATACAGGTTAGAAAGCAAGTGAGAGTAGCCACAATTRAGAAATAAAGGGATACCTATCTAGAAGATAAGCAATTTATCTAGTGAATTCAAAATAGGAAAAAAGACAGTATGGATAACGTTAAGTAATCATTTGAATACGTAAAGAATACGTAAAATACTTACGTGTTGGAATTATGCGACGTTGAACGTACTCGCGTAAAAACTCGTGGAGTTTGCGTTTATTGCTGACKCCAACTGAAATAATAACAAAGTTTTTTTAGCTGATTAATTTTGCCTTGGGTTTAATATACTAAGTGAGAGGTTTTGTAGAAATGCAATGGAACATAATTGTGCCCTGTAGAATATTTATGAAATGGATTTATAGATTGACCTAAATAAACATAATTATACATATGGGAATATAGAGGTGTCCGAAGAGCGTAGAGGTAGTGATACATCGAGATCGTTTTTACAGCAAATCCATGAATGGCTTTAAAACTGATGTGTAAATAATGTTTGTAAAACAGAGAGATTCTTAGAGATGTTCGTAAAGAGGTACACACAAAGGTTTGTTCTGTAGTGACATTTTTATAAGAAATTACATAGGGAGACCATTGATACCACTAGTTAAGACGATATAATATTTCTTACTAGCTTCGGTAGAATCTTTCTCCAAAAGTCGAGATAAGAATTTGACTGCAGCTTTATCCGTGCTCTCCTTGATGCGACACAAAGTGCTCCTTACATGAAGTAGTTTGCCTGTATATGACGAGTCGGACAGTCCATTGGGAGGAACTGAGGAAGCTGCAAACGGATAAACTTCATTTAGATACTAAATAAAGACTTGGTGGAAAGAACAAAACATACCAAAACAATAATAATAATATGCTAATATATTAATCAACAGATTATTAGAATGATTGATAATGAGACATCTAGTAAGATAGATAAAAGGTTGCATAATTGGATCAGTTATTGCTGGATGATTTGATGAGCTAACAAATGGATAGGACAAAGATGTAGAAACACTGCTTAATGCTTGACAAGCTTGTTTCGCCGCGGTTGTGAGGACAAATGCTGTGATAATTGTACAATGTAAAAAGCGCCTAAAATGGATGGATGGATCAAATGGGAGAATGGGAAACTATACCTCCAATAGCTGGGATAATATCTTCCATTCTGTCATGACCATTCATCAAAGATTTCCCAGCAGATGTTGGAGTGCTTTTGCTGAAGAAATACTCCGTAAGCTGAAAAATACAAAGGCAAAATTGATTTCACTTTGATTACAATTAAACTAAATGAGATTGAAGGCAATGAAACAAGAAACAAAAAGAACAAGAATGCAATTTAGTAAAAGCAAAACAACAAGCAAAACAATAACAAGCGCTGGGGCAAACAACTCTAACATGCAAAACGACCAAACGACCAAAGCCCGCCGCACACGAAAGGAAAGTGCGTAAGGGAAATGCCACACGAGGCGCTTTGATCAGTGTTTTGCTCACTGTGAACAGCAAAAATTGGTGCGCACACGATGCTCAAAGCGACTCGCGTGGCATTTCCATTTCGCACTTTCCTTTCGTGTGCGGCTGGCTAAGCAAGCACACACACACTCAAACAAGGATATAAAGTAATGGTATAAGGTAAGAACGAAGGCAATCCAGGCAGCAGAAAAACAGACAAGCTGAAAATATCCCAAAATGAAACAGATTCATATAATACATGTTTAATAACAAACTTACAATTACCTCTAGTAAAGTCTCTGCACTATGCAGTAATAAATCACGATCAGTTAAAGCATACAGTTTCTCTGTGGGTACTTCTTTGCCGTGACCTCCATCGCGTAACAGGTCCTCCATTCCGTAAAAGAGTTCCATAGAAATCAGCTCCACGAGAAGAAGCGACTTTGTTTGGTTCTTAAGAGATTCTTCTATTGGGCTTGTGATGGTTTTTCGCCAAGGGCCAGTGCGATTTGGTGGTTCGACGCCGTTATGGTTGAGTTCAAACTGCGAAGGAGCAGGTTTTTATTAAGAAAAGTCATGGAAATGAATGCATATACGCAAGTAACGTTAAATGTAATGTCAAGACGCAATGCGCTGCGTTAAGTAACATCTTACATAATGTATCGTGAGCATGGAAGCGCACCGACGTAATACACTTTCAAGTAAGTAAACGTAATACACTTACGTAAGAAAGACTTACGTAAGCTACTTATGACATGCATATATCGTAACATAACGCGAAGACGTTAAGTACAAGTCTAAGAATTACCATTTGAGCACCAGCTAAAGCTACATTTCTACTTAACTGATRTTCTGACTATAAAATTAAATCAAAATAAAAATGCTAGTAAGCGCTTCTGTGAAGAAAAGAACTGATTTGGAATTGTACTTTCACAAGATCAATTAAGTCATATTTGGCCACCTACACCGAGGCGAAGGCAACCGCAATCCTTGCGTCGACATGTCGGATTGAAGGGATTTAACATGAGATTAGTGTTTGTGATTTTAACAGACGCGATGTCTAAACGTACACGAGGTATATAACTAAAAGGCTTTTTCTAATCGAGAAATGTCCGCTGAGTATTCTTAGTGTCTCTCTTAATTCCGTGTTTTACTTTGTAAGGAGTTCTATGTTTCAGAGTTTTTCAAAATATTTTGCCACGAAACAGCGAAAATAAACTTATCACGAAACAGCGAAATTTGTCACTGAAACATCGAAATTTGTCACGAAACAGCGATCCCCTCAAAGTATTTCTGTTTTTAGAGAAAATACCAAGAGAAAGCATAGAATTTAAATAAAAGCTCTATAAGTTTTAATAAGGCCGTCTATATTACGGAAATCTCTATACGGACGACTCGATATTACGGCCACACTCTTCTTTGCATGAACGTTGACGTAGAAAAGTATTTTGTTTTAACACAGAATCACACATGGCTCATGTTAGACAACTCTGAAAGTTGAATAACGGGCGTCAATCGTGTCAATCTGTCTTGTATATATAAACACAAGATAAAAATATATCGTGTTGTTTTTGAAGAGAGATTTGCATCAAGGAGCAAACAAGAGGTACGTCAGGTTTAGTTATGTCACGAATACCTATTAATACCCCACTACGGTCACTCATAAAGAACAACATTTGCCTTTCTTTAGGAAATAATATCTGCATAATATGAGTTTTTCTGAACGCAACTTGCTCAACGTGTTCATATTTGTATTTTTGCACTTAAAGGTACTCCATCCTTAGTAAGAAAAAAATTGAATATTGTCAGAACTGATAATATAGATCCAACTTAAAATCGGCTATCAATTACTATGGCATTATCTTACAAAGCTAAATTTCAATAATAAAGATAATTTTAAGGTGACTGTCACATAAACAATACAACATTGAATAAATACAGTGAACATGTTTGCACCGTTATATAAAAATCTGCGTGAGCCACCTTAACAAAAGAGTACCTCAGTCCGACTGTCACATATGGCATAAATAACATAAACATAACATATATGTACCGTYACGYGAAATCTGYACGAGCCACCTTAAAAAAAGAGTAYCACAGCGATGTGCACAAGCAGTCCAAGTGACTTCTGAGTTACAAATGACAAAGTCTCACCATAGAGAATGATTAATGAACAGTTGATCAGTAGTTTAGATTGTCATTAGTAATGATAATCATCTGTGTGTACTCATGGAGCCATGGAGGCGGCTCATTATAACGACATTTAGATTAACACATACCGGGTTACGGCTGATACAGTTGGTTCGTAATGGTGTTTTAGTGGTAATGTAATTACAGGACATTGCTTATGTCGGCGGTTGCTTTCAAAATACGAGAATCTAATAACCTTACTTTTTCGTTAAACACACCCCTAGTTTTGCGGAAGGAATTTGAGATTTGAGTAACTTTGCAGATGGAATGGAATCCTGTATTCCGAACTAAATGAAAACAGTTCAAAAGAGTAGATCCTGCTTTACTTTATAGACTTTTTAAAGTCTTTATAAAACAAGTGGGAGCAGATTCAACTGAAAGGAACCGGCCTGTCTCTGGACCGTTTATATCGCATGATATCTGTTTATATATCACGTTGTTTTATTTGGAAAATCTTAAATATTTACAACAAAAATCACGCTACAAATTATCTAAAACGAACTCAAAATTACAACTGTTCTCTAGATTGTATTTTGCGTTTATAATTATTTAGTAAACTTAAGTCAAACCGACAGTTCACCACAAACGTGGAGTTCCTGATCACAGACGTTGGTCCGACGTTTTCAAATACGTCAACCGAAGGAAAGATAAAGAAATTGTGAAGCAAAAAGACTTGAAAAGAACGTTGATTTTAAGCCTTCAATTGCAATAGAACTTACAGAGAATGCTGACTGCTAAGCCAAGTGTATTAAGTACCCTTAAAGCAAATTGCAGCACTTAAGATGAACGATTCACTGACAAAGAGCTCGCTCAGTGGACCGAGATGAATTCATTTTTGTTGGCCTTCATTCTGTTTGGGAAAACACCAATACAAGCTTTAAAGTTAAACTGCTTCTTCAGTCGGATAGAATATTGTACAAAGATCAAGCTATGTCGATAAGCTACGATGATTATAGACGAAAAGTTCTGTAAAACAATCAACGAAATCAAGGAAACGAAACCTTTCTTATCTCTACGAACAGAAGCGAAGTTCCTGTTAAACGCACGGGCGAAGCTTTTGATCTTTGAGATAATTATAACTAAATACCAAAACCTAAACTTCTAACAACACAAATATAAAATTATATCTTATAATTTGACCTCAATAATTCTAAAAGTACAGCTGAATGGATGATTACTCGTAAGGAGAACTTCAACAATACAACTGAAAAAAAACCTTCCGTGCAAGGGCGGTGCCGATTCAAAAAGCTAATAAAAGTTCTTATCAATAAAATTTCAAAGGAAGATTGTTCCGTGTGAAAGCTTTATCACAAAGTTGTTATAAATAAAATTCACTTCTTTGAATAAGTAATCTAGGTTATAACGAAGTATGCTATCTCYCTTATGGACTCTCTAGGACGTGCCACATTCRGTCRTACAAAAATTGAACAGAATTMTCTATTTTTKGGCAAGATGKTAAGAACAGCACATAGAATWGGAGACATGATAATCTCTTTTAAATTGACTAAGAGCTGTTTTTGGTGCGCAATAGTGGTCGCAAGATGTGAAGCTCAACTTACATCATTAAAACAGAATGTATCATCATTTCATGACCAACAAAAACTGGAATCCAACAGGAAAAAATGCTAATCACACTACTGTAGAAGAATTCGTAAGGAYGACTTTTTCAAGTGGAATAGYACTGTTTGGATTAACTGGGGCAAACTGCACTGACAATACTACAAAACACACACTAACAGATTTCTCATGATTTAAAATAGAAACAGACTTCATATCCGGAAGCACGACTAGCTGTTCAAAGGATGAAAATAAATATAAGACTTTCAAGTTAAAATTCTACCATACAACAATGAAATTCTTTTGTAAATATACAAATTTGCAAACATGAACGAAAACAGAATTTCTATGCAATGTAAAAACGAGTGGAAATGAAATTATCAAAACATTAGTCTCTAAAACTATACTACATGTTTCTAAAAGTATAACATATATTTTTTGGCGGAATAAATGCAAGGTTTACTGAAGAAGGTTGTAGTATATTAATGCTGATGAAAAACTTATTGGACTATACATTTTCGGCGCACAAACATACATACAYATACAAAAATTTCATGAAAAGGCTACTTCAACAGACCTTSCATGMACAGCTGTTCAAAACAAATGCAAAACAACRGCAAAATTATCCCAAGAAATKCCACCACAYAAATTAWTGSRCTCGCRACTTTACATGTACAAAACTACATYCACACAMAGCAGATTTTCACGAAATAGTTAGAGAAACAGACCTTATTTCTCCGGAAGGACGCGTAGCTGTTYMGAACAAGCGGCCCTGCACATAATGATATTTCATCGGTTGCGGTTAAAGACCGCACATTGGGATGAAAACGCAACGCGCTGTAAAAATGAATGCCCTTCGGTCAAAAAGCTAAACAACAATGTATACATCGGATATTGTAAACATGATATGTATCTTACACGTGTGTTGCTTGTACAGAGATTAAGGGACTGAAACACGTCCGTCAGGCTGCAAATCATATGTTGCTTTAATCCTTTAGTAACATACGAAGATTACTCTGTGTATTTGAGKKTTTTTTGTGCTTAGTTTTCAGATTAGTTCGAAAGTAGYTATTTTTGGTATTTGTACARCTCGGAAGTGATGCTGGAAGCGACTTCCGGGGTTCAGRTACTATTTTGTGCCTACGTGTCTACAATAATTGGAAAGTCAAATGAAACTAAACCGGGTGAATTAAAATTATAACATTGTTAAAAGTCCCGGCTCTTTTAGACGAAAAACGTGACCAAACAGGTTGCTTTGATTTAGACACGAATCCCCCATTCTCTTCGTGGATTGATACTGTTCTAAAAGAGCGTAACCCCTGGCCATTACCGGGAATTGTGGGCTGGGATTGCACTAGATTGATGTATGACAAAAGAACAACATTTTTACATCCTCAAATTCAACAAGGTCGATGTATGTAATGTATGTATGTATGTAATGCACTTTGATATTATGCAAAAAGCAATAGAGTAGATTAGAGTGCCTAATGCAACCAAAGCCGCGTTTTTGCACTTTGCGTCTCTTGAGGGCGTAGAATACTCCATGCAATACGGTTTGAAAACGCACTCGTGTGCACGGTGTCCAACGTAACTAATGCGATTTCGTTGCGTCTATGGAAAATACAAATACGCTACGAAAACTAATTTGAGTAAGCATTCATTCACTGATGTAACTGATGCGTTATTGTTGCGTTTCTTGTTTTGTTTGTTTTTTTTTTGTTTTTTTTTTTTGTTCCCAATTCCTTTTGGACCAACTGAACAAATGCAACATCAACGCAATAGTTTGAACGGTGCCTAACGTAACTAATACGTTTTCGTTGCGTTTATAGAGAATACATATATGCTACGAAAACACATTCCCTGTTGTAAATGATATGTTTTCGTTGCGTATATCGTTGTGTTTTATATCATTCCCAATTCGCAGAATAACGCAGAATAGAATAAATGTGGTACGTAAACGTAATAGCGTGAACGCTGCCAATGGAAATGATGACTTCGTTGCGTTTTTGACGTAGAGTAGTATGGATGCACTACATCAATGCAACAGTATGTGAGAACTGAGATTTACCTCAGATTCGCTGCATCTTTGGTTGGCCTTCAAAGACAAGATGTAACTCTCGTATTCAGACCTGAGACGACGCCACTCTTGTTCTATTGGAAGAAACACAAAGTCACATTAGTTGGTATAGTTGCACGGTGTTTAACGTTGTTTTGCACGGTGTTTACCGTTGTTAAATTAAGCGCAGTCGGTCGCAGGTTCACAGACAGAAGTCTTTCGACGTTTAAACATAATCAAAAATAAGGAACATACAAAGGCAAAATATGAATTATAACAACAATAGTAAAWCTTGTTGAGTTTTCAGACTTCATTGTTACTGACACGCATGTTAATCTTCACAAAATCCTCTTCATGTCTAGTCGCATRGAGATGAGACTTATTGATCAGCGACAACTATCAATCAAGAGACTGAGAGCATCGAGAATACATAACCAACAGTTACTGTGGGTATAGATGGAATTATCCTGTCATCTTAGAAAGTCAGTCAGTGCCATTGTTCCATCAAACATTTATCTTCAACAGGGGTTTGTTTAGTCTAACACTCTTATTGTTCTTTTATTCCTGCCTTCCTTTCTTTCTCCCTTCGTTACTTTTGCTGCCTTTCATTGTTTCTTCCTCCCTTTCCATCCTTTCTTTTCCCTTCCTTCCATAGTTTCTTCCCCCTTCCTTCCATCATTTTTCCCTTCCTTTCTTCCTTCTTTCGTCACATCTTTCCATCTTCTTCCATGTTTTTTTTTTCTTCTTTCCTTCCTTCTATGCTTCTTTTCTCGATCCTTTCTTATCATATTTCATTTATCGTCTCTTTTCTCTTCCCTGCATTTCATTACTCCTTCATTCATCTCTCATTTAAACCTCCATCCCTTTCCTGAATTCTGTTTTCTCTCCTTTCTTTCACTGTTCACTTATTCACTCTATCGATTTCTTTAACTTACTAAGCCTTCTCGGTTGCTGTAGTCTTTGAAATATACTCGTAAACAGACTGACATCGGTCCTCTTGAGTCTCGCTTAACCCCATAATTCTATACTGTAACTCATACCAATAAAGACAAGAAAGAGGATAGCTGATAGAACACTTAATGGAATATCGGTTTTCGAACAGATGATCACATTTACTACTTCAATAAAGTAAAAAATATATATATAATTTATCATTAATATATTACGGACATTTCTTTGTGTCACGCACTATACCAAAAACCATGATATATTTTGAACAAAGTATGCGTGCATCACCGAGACTCCTCCATATTGCAGGCACTTTTGTAATTCATACTATAAGTATTCGAGTGCATGCTCTTTGGAGGAAAAGGAATGGTTGGACGTGCACCGATCCACAAGAAAACATTTTCCCCTAAGAAGCTGTTCGCAAAGTTGAGGTCGTCTCAAGATGTTTCAGTGCTGTTTTAGATTGATGTGTTTATGATGCGATTAATTATACACACATAGGTCGACAGAATCACATTCCAGAGATGGTCRAGATCGAAGTCAATTCACTAAGAGGGTAAACAAACTCCATAATGTCCTTCAAAGCCTAAAACAGCTTAAACTCAACGCTGTTTGGAGGCTAAGAGCATTACGAAAATTCCATTCTCTACAAATAACACGCCAWAAACACATAACGCAACGACTGTGAAAATTATAGAGTAATCATTTACGCTACAAAGAGTATATAAGTGAGAAATTAATACATCATTAATTATCGAGTCGCGTTCTGATGATTGTTGATACCCTTGTGGTCTGGGTGCTTTGTTAGGAGTTAACGAGGATTAAGTACAGAAAAACATCACATAGAATTACGATTAGGAGGCTAGCAGACACTAATATACTCTCTTAAACATATGTAATAAGGTCTATATTCAAAACATTCAAGTTAATATCTGTAATATTGTATAAAGTTGTTCATTAAAGGAATCATCGCTCTAAAAACCGCAAACACTTTTAGAAGCACGTAAAAAACACCGCAGAACAACAGAACATGTAATAACGAAGTCATTGTAATTATCTAAACAAGAACCACTTAAATCTTACCTTTGTTTTCTAAAGTCTCAGCCAACTGCCTCGCCATTTTCTCGTAATCTACCTGAAGAAAGGAAGCATAAGAAGTCGAAATTAGAGTCGAAACGTCAGTAATATTGAATATATATGTAAAACATACTTGTAATCTTATAAATGAATAGCAAAAATGTAGGTCTATGTTTGTAGTAACGTTTAGAGATAATAACAGACATCGAGACCTTTTGCTTTAACTCGACATATCCAATACAAATTGCTGAATTCCTCGTTACAGCATTAAAACCATGATAAACTTCTAATACGACAGCGTCTTTCAGGAATTCAAATTCCACTCGTGTTWATCTTCCGGGGGAAAATAAAACTTCAAAATTAACGTCGGAAATGTTGTTTTTTAGTTTGGCGTAGTAAGAATATTCTACGTCATTCTTTTGAAGTCAACAACGCCATTTGAACTCCTGCTTGCTCGTACAATAATAAAGCCTCAAGTGCCACAATTTGTACAGTTTAGAACCATTTAAAGTATCTGGTTTACGTAGGCGAAGAGCATCGAAGTTTATAACTACAATTCTTTATCGGTTTCCTCACTGGAACAGCACACTTTCATCTGTCAATGGGAAACGATTGGCTTTATACGGATAAAGTTTCAAATAACGCAATGCAACCACGCTGCAACCAGCTAGTATTCAAACATCTTTAGCTTAAGAACATCGATAAAATTCCACCGTTCTTTCAGAACCGCGCCATGGCAAATAACAAAGAAACTTAAAAGAATATCTTTTGTGACGTGACAATGTTCATCGCGACGCACGGACGGCTCGAATCAATACGATGTACGATTTTGTTGTTTGCCGAGTGTATGAGTATCATACTGTGTTCGCTCAAGAGGGGTCTGCACTCGGGGCAAATTTTCAAAGCAAAGGATATTTCACGTTTGAAAGATTYCAAGCAAATTTAAGCTTCTCAGCTGGAGAAAATGACGACTCACAAAACTCGGATTACTTGAATTCTATGACAAAACCGGGTAATTTTAATTCYTGTTATTACAAATGGAATATTGCAACCGGTGCYCMTGSGTACTCTTAACCCAATGACCTTTCTAAATACATTGCGTGACGTAACAACGTGCGTGACCACATGGGGTACTGTCGCACCAGTTGGTGGCGAAACAACCTCACAGTACCCCTACTAAGAATCTATTGTGCGGACAAATTAATGGCACAAGCAAAGAAGTGTAAAAGAGTATTAMGTTAAGAAGGAAAACGTGGACAATAAAAGTTAATTAAGAACAACAAAAGGCTCTTGCTATAAAACTTTTCCTGATAAATTTGCGCTAGTAAATCTTTGTAAATAAAATGGAAAACTTTTGTTTACAAACTTTGATTGTTCATAATTTTTCATAAAATCCAGATAAGATTTCGTGCTAGAAAAGCAGAAAGGGCTAAAGTTCTCAGTGAGAAAGTATATAAGAAACAAAAAGGATGATTATGTAACATATTTAAAATGTTTTAATTTTGCAAAAGCAATGTCTCGATGTTTCGTGGTATAATATTGGCCTCGAAATCGTAACTAATTCATGGTACTTCAGGTCACGTGGTTTGTCACGTGCGTCCTGTGGGGAAGTTGTAAAAGCCACCGGTACATGTGTGGTAATATGTTCTCAAAGACCGTCTTAATTAATACTACATCATTTCCTGCTACACAAAGAAGGAAAGCGGTTTCTCTAAAATATCTCCCTTGCCACGAGGGTTTTTCTCCGGGTCCTCCGGTTTTCCTCCCTCAGCAAAAATCAACATGTGAGGAGTGTTGTATGCTAAAATACTTAATGTAGAGGTAGTGAGTGTGAGAGTACAGGTCCGCAGTAATTGGCTCACGCTGTTGCGGTGTCCCTGCCCATACTAGGGGAAAAGCTAATAAATTAAATTAAATTAAATCATACTTGTATTGAAAATTGCAGACTTTACAATTGTAATATCGTTTCAAAGTCGTGATTATTCATGATACACAAGATCACATGATTTGTCAAGTGTATTTTATAGGAGAATAGCTTTTACTAAAAAAAATCATCCTTGTGTTACAATATACAAATGATGATAAATGGTATTATTTTGTTGTATTATCAATTACTAATGCTCCGTCACGTCACGTGATTTGTCACGTGAATTCCATAGCCGCAATACCTTTCACTAGAGTATCAGTCGCGAGCCGCAATGTACAAATGTTACAAATGATGCCGGGTGAGAGGGTGAAGACAAGTATCATCACCAACAATAACATGACATGCAAACACTTTTAATTATTTTGGCACGAGTATTGTGAGCTCCATGATACCTACTGCAATGGACAATTACGTAACATTTGTCTAAAGCGGAAATTTCTCAGAAACATCCTTTAAGTACTTATAATACGGACTAAAACATTCAAAATATGATGTCTTCTGTCATGGGAAAAATTTGAAAGATGTTTTGTAATTTTATTTTTCAAAGAAGCATTCCACAATCTCATCCATGTACGTTTAATGAGATTATGAATTAATGCTTCAAAAATGTCACTAAATTTCAGACAATTCATTAATGCACTTTATGGGTTATCTTTTTCTGGTTTTCTTTTCTTACAGTGACAGAGTAAACGCAACTCTTTTTACATAAGCCAAGAACTCAGTTTGATAAGTATCAAAGCATGTGTTGCGCAGACGTCTGTGATTTTCTCTATCGTCCTTGTCTTCCTTGGATGACATAAAAATACTGTCCTCTCATGAAAAAGAGAAAAAATGTTTTGGACATACTATCTATCTTGACAAACAAATGCTATTTCTCAGATTTATACACTTAAAATGCTTAGAAATCGTGATAGCTAGTCAAACAACCCACTAGATAAAGTTTTCTTTAGAAGGTGTTGCCACTTTGGAACTTCAATTCTTCAAAGAATTCCGGATAAGATTAGATAAACTAGATTGCGATTTTGTTTCCTACAAAGAAACGTAGATAAAACCTAACTAAACAAAAAACAACTCCACTAGGATGAAACGGAAATGTTTCTCATGCGTGGYGTACAGTATAATGGGAATCCCGGGGCTTGTAGCAGATTACCGAGACATATTACAGGGCAAGAGGTCGCAATTACTTTCCTAATATAACATCTTTAGCRCATAGATGCAGGTTCTGTTTTAGTCAGAAGACTGTAAATAAAATACCAGATCCAGATGTGCTGTTGATCCACTTGAGTTACCCAACAAACATGATCCGCTTTTTCACTAATTGACTTAAATCTTTTCGGCATTACAAGAGGTTAATGAAATCATCAGAATGGTAGACTATGACGTACGCACGACATCAAAACATCCATGTTCTCCTAGGCCTGTGGAGCACTGGACTATTTATCGGAAAGGTAATCTCCTGATGGTGATATATCGTTATCTACTCACAAGATAAAGTCCAYTACATGATCCAGAAAGGGTCAGAATATGTCCTTTTTCCAATAGTATTTGTGGGAGTACTTCACGTGTAAAAAGTAATTATTGTACTACTAAAATAGATAATAAAAGCAGAAAGGGATTACATGTTATCTTGATAATAAGTTTAAGATGTACTTTGAACCTTTTGAATCCAAGTATCAGCTGGAAATCCCGACGCAATCTCKATTTTCCCACCAAAGATGTCTACTAGTAGTAGACAATACAACCTCCACCAACGCAAAAGAAGTCGAAACTCAATGACACAATTGTTGAAGCAAATGCAGACATCACAGCGATTTATGGAATACTAAATATTTGAGAAGAAACTTCTAGAAATTCTGAACAGCTTTGCTAAGTTAACGCAGAGTTGCAAAAATATGATTTTTTTTAGCGAGTAACTCTTGCTTCATTATCACAGTGTGTGAATTCTTGTGGTAGGMACGATTCGCCACTATGAAAATGGAATCAGATCTAGTGGGGTGGTGTTTTGAAGACTACAAGACTGTTGATGTGTGTGGTATTTTAAGTTAAGTACATCGTAAAAGACACTTGAAGAAAATGACTTTACAAGCAAACAAAATTCCTGGGAATGTCAAAGCTCCATGGCAATGCCACCAATAATTGCGCATGAGAACTTAGCGTATTACTACGTAATAAAGTTCAACTGCAGTTAGTTTACACTTTGGATTTCYCACACAAAATCTATKAACAGYTACGGATGAAATTGCAAAATGGTACCAAAATTTCGCCTTATTCACGTGGAAARATATCTCSCYAGCCATGCATTTTCGTACTGTGATTKAGCACCCTATTACATCTTCAAACATACTCTTAGATTGTATAATCCACAAAGCAACARAGCATAGATTATCCCAAATACCTTGTCAAAAACGGGAAAGGAATCTTCACTATCCTGTCTAAGAAGCTCCTCCAATTCATTCGCCTCAAAAATAGTGCTAATCACTCGTTCGCCTTCAGGGGAAAACAATTCCGGATCGACAAGTACTTGKCCTAGACCATCCATCCCTCCTTCGGCGATAAACGCTACAATCCTTCTGAAGACTCGCGCGCAACACTGGGTCTAAGTACCCTGAGTAAGGGAACTCTATACGGCGGTATATTGAAGGAGCGATWRAATTACGTGCGTAAGACGATCATSGTGCGTGTCGTGAATGACTGTGAATTAGCAGTTTGACGCATTTGACGAGTCTGTCCTCTGTTTTRCAAGCTAAAGATAGATTAAGGTGGATRCGACATTTGAAATTTGGGATGAAATAGAAATCAGATACTCGTTTAACTTTTACGACCTTCTCAATTTTCTTTCGCTATGATTTTTCTTTTTTGCTTTGTTTTTCCACGTGTCTGTATCACATGATGTAGATATTAAACATAAAATGCATAGTGAGATTCCTAAATATAGTTTTAGAAGAGAATAAATTGAGGTATCCTAGTTTTAAAACCACCAACAGTTTCTGCAAGTCTTCCATTCCTATTTTTCTACGCACTTTCATCATGCTTATATGAAATTTTTCGGCTTAAGTCTCAACTTTTTTTCAAAAATGCACGATTTTATTCCAACAGTATTTCAATGAAATGGTGGAATTCAAGCGCTTCTGAAGCAATTTCGACTAATCTTAGGACTCTTAGTACAATAGCCAAACTCACGAACAAATGGTCTAAGACAGCGTCGCCCAGACCTTCCATGGTGGTCAATTACCCATTCTTTGTCGATCCCAGAATCGATTGACTCCAAGATACCAAATGAATAMGACTTTGTTCAAGGAGAGACTTTGTATGATAAATTGCATATTTGTGAACAGTTATCTTGGATTTAATRAAAGGGTGGTTAGAATTTATGTTTAAAATCGACCTAGATCCTTTTGAGGTCAAAATCATGTCTTAATACATCAACTTGTCGCGTCAAAGCAATTAGCGAACGATCAAACCYTGTTTCCTTGGGCTAGAAACCGTCAAATTATCTTACGTGTACTTTATTTCTATATCGAGATCGAGATCTGTCAATGGAGTGTGGGAAGTTGGAGAGGAACTGGGGAGAGTAAGCAATATCACGTGATAGCCTAAACGATAAAGTCACGTGCCATCACTCGTATAAAAGTTGGAAGAAAATGATCTATAATCATCTGAATTATATCAATACAACCGTGTAAACGCTAAGAACACTATATGTAGATTTATGTTTCAGCATGAGAGCAAAGACTAAGATTATGAAAAACTATACCAATTRAATATTACTAAATTGTACTGAATTTTGCGAATTCCTTTGTTTTCTATAGTCTAATCTACACTATATTACGCTTTTTAAACAAGTAAGTAAAACAACCGTGAAATAGGTAGAGTACTCGCACTAAATGCGTGAAAAATATAAATACTACAAAATAGGTGATAAATTATAAAAATTCCTTTGTGTCCTATTGTATGATCAACAATATTTAGTAGTAATTAGTACTGTTTGTTTCACGCGAACAATCTATTACACTAATGCATCATAGTACGCTCTAAAATTGCATTGCATTCTCTTGTGTATATTTGACAATCACACTTTCATATTCAAGTTTTGTTTCACGGGTTTGATGACTTTACTTTAGTACTTTTTTCACGCTTTTCGTCTTTCACTCTAGGTTATATATATTGCATTTTCTAATGAATTATTGATAAGCTACAACATATATATCATTATATAACATGTCTATCGCTAGCAGTGATGATTATGATTGGAAGGGACTATGAATATTACACTTACGATACAGCCTAGTAAGCTATAATAAGAGAAGTAATTATAAAAACGTGCAGAAATTCAATCATACTACTTCATAAGACTAGATAATACACTTTTGGGGGTTAACGAGGATTAAAGGGAACACTTAAATCAGCTTTTAGTYTAGGAGGACTATTGATGGAACGAAGTGGAAAATTAACCCTTATCAATAGGGATSACCTTTTAATGRGGTACACTCTTAGCGATTTTTATCTRAAACAAAGATCGGTTTCTGAAAGTTTCTTATTTTTATAGTCAATTTAACATAATTCATAGCAGTAATCAATCTATTTAGAAATACATTTGAACGTATCGGCTCTTTCTCTCGTTACTAATTCAATATCAGTCGATGCGTTCGTCAGTTCATGAATTCATATTCATATTTTGTTATTTTATTGGTATATGTTTATTACATGTTAATCATTATTCAACAATGTATCTATCCAATCAGCTATCAAATGAAGTTTTATCTAAATTCATTTATTTATACATACATACATYCATTCACCATCATCATCATCATCATCACCATCATCATCGGTTCTCTTCGCAACAATAGGTGAAATAAGGCTTCCACAAAACATCCCCATTTCTTTCTGTCCATACCTGCTTTCCTCAATAATAAAAGTCAGCTTTCCACCAATGTGGTCCATCGTTTTTTCATTCATTTCCATATTGATCMATTCAATTACTATTACAGACTTAAGTAAATCCATCAACCCAGACACGCATAATATCTTTTCATTCACATAATTCTCCTTATCACAACCTCGATCCCTCTTCACATGAGGTGGCGAAAACAGAGGAAAAGGGGAGCTAAGATCTATATTTTGTATATCATTAAACTTATCGATAAAACCATATAATCCYCTGATGYATGYCRCAGRCATATCAWTCAAKGATTGCATTACACGGCAAATTTAGTCAGACTCGCAGCATYCATCCACCCAAAATCGWCAGCCAGTTCATGCAGCCATCTGATAGGCATTAAATTCCAATCGGACCATTCTTTCTMATTCAAGAAGGCATTGAGTGGACAAGGAGGAAATCCGCTGACATGTCGCGWCCATTATGATTGTAAATCGCCCCACATCCCACACTCACGCCCACGTGGTGCAACATGTTAATTAAGCCTTCATTAAATAGCAACTCAGTATCGATCAACGTTGGATATATATCATACCATACATAGTACTAAAAATGGAAACATTTTARCTATATGTCTACAATTTCTTAATCACGTTTCAAGAGGAACTGAAGAAGAAACAATTGAACCATCGTCTGCGAGAAGTAGCGGTAAAAACGAGCGAGAAAAAGTCGCTTTCCTTAGAATGCCAGGAAAATATTATTTGTTTGTGTTTCGAATTTCCGTTCGTATTCTCAATCATTAATCGTCGATCAATCAGAGCAAGCTTTTGACAAAATGTATATTATAAACTGTTTACAAGACACACATGTGGTAATCAATTACAGCGCGAAAAGGTATATGGTAGATGAAAGGCGCAAGCGCTGGGCAATCATTCAGAGCGCGCATTATAAGAAAATCTAGCATCTCTAACCAAAAGAAAATGACAGTAAGTCAAGGGAGCACGGCAAAATGTTGTTTATTATTTTTTTTAATCCGTTGGTTCGATCGATTCGTTCACTATAGAAATAACCGCCATTTTGTTCTTAAAAAAGGGAACAAACAACATTTTGCCGTGCTCCCTTGATTAAATCTCTTAAATCAACACTAAAAGTGCTATTTAGACGATGCGAAACATTAGAAAAGACTAGGAAATCAAATAGACCTATCCATATGGGTCTAATAATCATAAAGCAACAGATTTCAAGAAGATATTGATACAAATCCTTAATAATTTTGGCAAAAAATGTTGGAGTAGATGACATCATTTTACTCCATCCTTTTGTTCTTCCATCTTTTGAATCAAAATTTCTCTGATGTGGTATAATTCCAAAACAAACATTTTCCCGCAATTTTTTTAAATAGATATAAATGAAGCATATATTTGTATTGCTTGAAGTTTTGAAATAAGGCCATTTTCATGCAAGTAGCACTTTAACATTGAAAGAGAGTGATACAAATAAGCTTTCTACAAAAAATGAGCTTCTCATGTACAATAGAAGTCTCGCCATAATGTTTTAGAAAAAAAAACCCACCCATACACTACTTTCAAAAATCCCCATAAAAATCCCCATACACTACTTTGGCTCATCGTATCGTGCACACGTGTTCGTTTTATATCTAATCCAATAAAGATGTTTTCATACCTCGATATTCACTTGTGCCGTACTCTCGACCTTCATGGCCCGAAGGCCAAACTTGAGACTACATACTGTTTCATTGACATCTGATAGCGAAGGAGACACGCATACCTGTACAAAAAAACAAGATAATCCACGTTAATTATCATCCATTCTTGTCTCTATCTAGTTGTTATAATTTGAACTTCGCCCCTGCTTTGTATCGCTTGTTTTTCAAGTTGATTCATGAAAGTATTTTAGTGATTGCAAACGATCGATCTATTGCTCATATTGCTAACATGTATGGMAATGTTTCTTGTTTTGATAATGAATCTAAAAGGATTGATCGAAATTCAGYAATTGCAGGGAGAAGTTCAGGCAAAATGAGCCTTGCCAGTGCTACATATTATATTATCCATATATTTTCATATTATATGAAAAACACTTGTGACAAACTTTTTTTCAACAAAATTTCTATAAAAACTTTAGCTTAATCTATATTTTACATTTAAACCT